ACGGATCCCAGCTTTAGCCGCCCTCACACTCTCCCGCGTGATCCAGCGGCCGGTGGATTTCACATCTTGAGGAAAGTGCACGGGTGAAATTAGGTCGGGACATGGCTGGGTAAAGCCCCCAGCAGCAGAGAGCCATGGAAGATGCAGGGAAGCAGCGCAGGAGCAGATACCCGCGCACCCCACACCTGGCGCCCAGCACGCCCCACATCTGGCGCCACAACGTGGGACCCTCTGAACCTCGTGCCAGCTAGGAGCTGGTACCCTCGGAAACGCAGGATTCGTGAGTATCTCTCCCACCAGGAGAGAAGCAAATCTTTTATTTCTTTCTTTCATCTAGACTAAAAAGGTGGCTGTGGCAAAGCCACCCCACTCGTGGGGCTTGGCAAATCTTTCCTTTTCTCTTTTCTCCTTCTAAAAGTAGACTTCCCTAGTCAGTTTCATTATTGTGCCCCCCACAGGGCATTCAAGCCACAGCTAAAACCAGTTAAGTGGGAATTTAAATTAACTAGCCCCTGCCGAGCACCTGGGAATTCAAGGTGACTCAGGGCCAGACAAAAGACTTTTTTCTTGCAGCCTAGGGGCTTGTAACTTGCCAAAGTGGTTCCCAGACAAAAGATTTAAAACTGCAACTTTTTTTTTTTCTGCAAACCTAGAGGCTTATAACTTGCCAAGGCGCTCCAAGCCCTCTAGTGTCAGACTGCTGTAAAAACACCTCCCTTACAATGGGAATTCAGCATCACGCCAGAAAAAATGCCAAATTCGTTCCCTTAAGACCCTGCTTAAATCTAGAGGGCTTAAGATCTCTCAAAAAGAAAGCTTAAAATTTTAGAATGAGGTGTATCAGTTTGCACCCTGGATCCTTAATTGTGGAGGGACCCCTTTGATGGACTCTAGAAAGAACCAGATCCATTGCTAACCACAGAGAGAAGATTTGCTTGTGTTTTCCCACAGGATCAACCAAAGAAAAAAAAGAGGTGGAGACGACACCCCAAAGCCCCCCTGGAGCCTCCTCTGTCGTCCTCATGGCTGTCTTTACCCTGCTTAACACCAACGCTTCAGACAGCCCCCACTCTCCCTAATACCATGTTGTAGAGATTTTACTTTTCAAGGGAAAAAATCAGATCCATGGGACAATCGCTGGAGCATTAAAGTAATAACAAAATTTTACTCAGGTGCATTTTCTAGGTACCCCACAGCTAAATTTCATGTCTCTCAACAGCTTACACCTGTAGCTAAGTATGTGTTAACTTATAATGTTATTCTACATGAAAGACAGAGGATCAAATAAGATCAACTATGTCCTGGAACAAGTTTAACTTTCTTCCCACCTACCCCAATGTCTAATTACTTTCTTTTGTGCATCCAGCAATAGGCCTTTACTGATAGCAGTACCAGCTACCACCCTTCTCTACCCAGGAGCAGAAAAAAATTTCACTGGCTCTCATCTAAGTGGATTCAAACAACTAACTAACTATTCAGTTACATTTTCAGCAGCAAGCCTCCCCAGTACAGCATACATTGCTGTGTTAATCTCTCTTTGCCCACCTTTTTGTGAATAGTACTTCCAGGTATAAGAAGCTTTTTCTCCTACAAAGCTGCCAGCAGAGAAAGATCTTCTTCCCCCTGGTGGTAGAGATCGAGCTTACACTAGATGCTGGAGATGTTGCTATGACAACAGCTACTACAAGCTGCACCTGATTCTGCCTTTGGCTGAGACAAGCTGAACCAAGCTGTGACATCAGTGACTGATAGCCTGGAGTTTCTCCAATAGCAAACGAACTCTCTCACCAGAACTGTGCTTCACAACAAAAGAACATTGGACTTAATAACTACTGGACATGGGAAGGGTATATATGATATTGGGAAAGATACTGTTTCTTTGTAAATGAATCAAATGTTGTTGGAACTAATGTTAACACTCTCAAAAACTTTGTAATCTATTGGCTTAGCAATCCCTTGTTTGCATGGCTCCTATCCCTTCTTGCTCTCTAATAATAC